GGACTGGGTTTTAGCTAAACCCAGGACAGAATGGAAAACCTGAGAATCACAATATATTTCTGTATGTGGTAACCAAGTATCATGTAACTTTAGGAAGAGTGATTTCTTTTTTCTATAAACCCTTGCTGAACCAAGGCTATTCAGTGTAATCCCAGCGAGCTAAAGCTACTCCATTTTAACACCGTTTCCGTTACTGGTCTTCTGATAAGACTGGCTGTGTGTGTTTCAATTAAAATGAGTTTGTGATAGCTTCTTTTTTTATATTTCATGGATATCCACCCAAAACAAAATCTGATTTTCCTTCCACACTGGAGGTCTACAGACAGCTTTTGCATGGTAGCAGCTTTTGGCTACTGTAGAATTCTTACTACATCTGATTTCAGGACTAAAGCCAAGAGACTTCATCCTGCTGTTAGTCTTTGCCTGAAAATAAAAAGTTCCTTTTTCCTGCTTTACCAGTATAGCATTATCTTCCTCAAATGGATTGCCTGTTTTCTTGAGGAAGTCCAGGTGTATTTTTCACCACCAGCATTGAATTTCTGGCAACTTTTGCACCAGCTTTGAGTTCTTTCTTATAATCTTACCTCATAAAAATTACCGATACTTTGTTCAGTGAGTGAAACTTTAACTTGTGTGCTCTTCAAGTAATGGAGCGTTGCTTTGAGGCTGGTATCACAGTCTAGTGGTTTATATACCTCTCCATGGGCAGAGAGTTGCTTTCCCAAATGACACAAATGCAAGTAGGTGGATTTATTTGGTCTGGTACAGTGCCATTACCATGCTCTGGACCCAGAAATAAAATAACTGGATCCTTAGTGTCTCTCTCAACAGATCTTGTTTATGTATAATTTGACAGTGAAAATAAGGTGAGGACATACAGCAATTCTGAATTTAAAAAATTGTATTTAACATGATTGAAAATGGGTAAAAAGTAATGACCAGGGCTTTTTCTGCCTTTCTTTTGGTAGAGTTATCAGATAGTCCTCCTCCTGTCATGTTTCTCTTGGCATGTCAGGCTTTGGGGATACTATGAGCATCAGAATTTTCTCTCTAATTGGAACTCTAGATGTCAAGCTAGTAGTGGATCTGTCACCAGTTATATATTGAGTCTCTTTCTGTGCATTTTTGATTCTTTAAAATGTGAATTTACTTGTTAAAGGAAAATTTTTTCAGTGCCCTATGCATTGGCAGAACTAATATTACTTTTTAAGTATCTTGTAATCCCAAAAGTTCGTTGTGCAGTATTTTGTTAATATGGTTAAACTTGTTTTTAGTGTTTTAGTTAGTGTCCTTATCAAAGACGAAATGTTTGTTAGCATAGACTCATAGAATTGTTTGACGGATAATCGTTGAAGGATTGTGAAAGGCTTACATGCTGGGCGAAGTGCAAATGTGTTTACCTGATGCTGTTGGGATTAACTTTCCTTTGTTGAGAACATGGCTTGATATCAATAATTGATTTATAAGAACTCCTTCTTCCTATCCACCTACAGGCAGAAGCCAGACAGCCCTAAGGAAACAACAGTATTATTTATCATAACACAAATTGTATTTTCATGAAATAAGCTGGTGTTGTTTAATTGGCAGTTGATGTGACTAGAAGGAACAGCCAGTGGCATGTAATATAATGTCATTTATACAAATAGAGGCCAGTTAATTTCTCCTGTAGCGCAGGAATTTGTGCTGCTTGGTAGAATTGAAAAGTGACACACTGAAGATGGGCAAGAGGTGTCCTTCCCCTCCCAGAGCACCCTGCTGGCTGGGAGCACTCTGATGTCAGTGTAGCCACAGAACCAGCAGGACTTGGAAGCCTCTTAGGCCCACTGACAAAATGCTTAGCTGTTTTGAGAGCCTGCTAGATCTGCTGTGCCTAATGTGAAGATGTGAGCGTATGAGTATTTTGCGCAGCAAAGAGAAGTAGTAGAAGAACTTGTAAAAAAGTAGGAAAAACCCTTCGTCTGGTTCTAAAACTCTAGGCACCCATTGTCATAATGAAAAAGTTTCTTGTAAGACACCTTTGCTAGCAACGGTAGCACAGTATTTACATACAGAGTAGCCTCTCTAAGTATGAACTTTAAAAGTCACTGCTTTAATTAAAGTATGGCCATTCTGAACTGGTTCCAAGCTGTGTGACACAATTTGATTTTAGTTAGCTTTTCGTAACCAGCATGGTGCTAGAACAGGACTGCCTTTTTTGGTCTGTTAGATGTTACCTTTGACCAAATTGTAATATACGTTTGACATTAAAACCAAAGTTACTAACTGTAAAAGAGAATAACCCGCGTGTGCTTTTTTTTCTCCCCAGACACCTGAGGAGCTAGAAGATGTATCTGACCTTGAAGATGACCATGATGCACGTAGTCGTACCAGTATTCAGACTGAAGGCAAAACTGACAGGGTATGTATTACACCAGTTTATTGAAAAAGCAATATAATGAGAGGAAAAAATGCTGTTGTGTTACTGTTCCTATGAAGCCACTTAAAGTCCTGCAGTGAATTACTAAAATCTTGTTCAACTCTTAATAGATTTCTGAGAATGTGCAGAGGGCATAAAACTGATGGGTACTACCTGAAATTAAGTTGTAATCCAAATTGTGTAATTAAGTTGTAAGTACTTGGTGAAAATATGAATTATACAGGAAAAAACCTTACGCTTCCTGAATGAATTTCTAACAGGTTACAGTTTCATAAATGTGACTTATTCTAATAGAAGCTAGGTTAAGAAGGAATTTTTTTGTATTTGGGTTTTACTGAAGCCTGCCAGACGTATTAACCAAAAATCCCCTCTGCATAGGAGAAAGTTGCCGTGCACAGAGAAGCAAGGGCTATAGCTGGAGTGCTGCCCGTACTTAAAACAGTGAGAAAAAGAACAACGGTTTGAAAGATCATCTCATACAGCCTTAATATTTAGTAAACATAATTGGCAATTAAATTGAAAAGGGCAGCTAGTGTATTTTAAATTACTCTTTGTAAATGTCGACGCATTTTCCTCACATTACAGGCTAAAATTCCCATTGTAGTTTAAAAAGACAAGGTTTTCCTGCAATACAGTATCCAGTGCGTTTGTCTGGAACAGGTACGGATGATGGGCTTGCATATTTTCCTAAGCATCCTATAATAAATGATCCCACAATCTCAGCTTTTCTCTCACTGGGAAAACAGAAGTGTAGTAGTTTGTAGATGTTTGCTGTCAAAAAGTAGTTACAGAAAATGTGTTAAAGCTTTAAAAAGTCCCATGTTCACACAAGGTCTTGCACGTCTCAGATGAACTTTAAAAGGAATGATTTTTGACAAGAAAACCATAAGTATTGCATACTTCAAGTGACTACCCAAAGGAAGAAGGGACTGCTGAAGGCTGTCATAGGTGGGACGACGGCTGTCCAGACACAGCGGTGCGGGTGATTGCCTTCTTGAGGGATCACTGGGAAATGCTTTTCCTCATACTGCTCACACAATACAGCAGCTGCGCTGTCAATGAACTCCATGGGGAGGTGGAAGAGACCGTTATTTATAGGAAAAATATGCTTAATGCATCTGAACAAACAGTGTTTTATCAATGCAGGGTGCACATTTCTATTTTTCTTCTATTTCTCCACAAAAATAATACAGTTGCTCTAAATGTTTTTTTCTTTAGGGGCATCTAGATAGCATTCATGGCTTAGAGCCTGATCCTGTATTTTTACTTGGGAATAGTTTTCCTAGATTTACGAATATGCTATCAGGACCACAAATGGCACATTACCCCCCAAATTAATAGAAAATTACAGCTTTGACTAAATTAGATACATACCCTCTGAGCTTAAATCAATATATTGACAGAAACTTCCATGTACATTTGTTTTTTAAACAAATGTTTGAACAAATCTATTTGCTGCTGCAGCAAATGTGAACAATGATTTAAGGCCTCTTTGTTTCGACTGCTATTTGATATTGATATTTGAAGATTTATACCTAGAACCTATTTAGCAGTATGAACAATCTGTATAGGGAAGATAGCTTTTAAAGTTTAGACAGGGATTGTCTTTTGTGTTCTGCAGCGGATTTCTGTGCTGTTGTGAGGCTCTTGCGCGTGCAGTGGCAGCGCTAGGAATCACTGTGTTCCAGAAGTGGCAAGGCACAGTGCCAGAGTAACCTTTTGTCCTCCTCAAGCCTTGGATATTTTAAGTGTAGTAATTCTATTTTTTTTTATATACATAACTGTTTCTATACTCATTCTACATAACATCAGACTTGATTCCTCTTGATTTGTCAAGAATGTTGCATTTTCTCCTATGTCACGATCTCTCACTACTCCAGCAGTGAGGTAGTGCCTGTGGAAGCTCAACTTTAGTTGTTAGCACAACACAGAAAGCATGTAAAACCACATTGCTATGCCACTTGTAACAACAGCTAGATCTTAACTAGCAAATCTAATTTTTCTTATGTAGGAAAAATTCATTAATTATAACTTTTTCTGAACTTGTCTCTGTGTAGAGAGAGCGTAGGTTATTGGTGACATAGCAGGACAGGTATTTGACCTTGTATTGATGTTCCTGACTCTGAGTATACTGGGTAGTCGTGGAAATGTTACTTGATTGATCTTTCCCTCAGGTAATTGCATATCTCGAAGGTGAATGTGCTTATGGCACCATCCCACGTGGGGGCCACAGGTTAACTTGGGCAGAGTGCTGTGAGATTACTCTGTAATTAAACTGGATAGCAGTACTCATTATTATTTCTAGGGTAGTTTTGTTATCCTTGAAGAAGATCCTTAGGGCCAAATCCTTGGCTATCATAAAAACAGATAACTGCTTGTGGATCTTAGGACTAACACCATTTTTCTCAGCTGAAAGAGCTTCCTCCTGTTGTTGTGTCTAATTTGTATAGTTACTCTGCAAGTTTATCACACAGTAATTTTGCCTGAGGAAATTTATGCCATCATGATCAATGTAATTCCAGTGAGGTAGTTAGTGGCTTATTATTGTCTGATTTTGTGTTGAAGAGAAGGTCAAGTAAGAAATTGTCTGATTAATTTTCAGACTTAGAAGACTGTGTACATTCTGATGATAGGAGAAAAATTTAAGTGTTTTAAGTTACTAAATTAGTGAAGGGAACAGCTTAGCTTAATTTCATAGTTATTGCTACAGGAAGGATGTTCATTATGAAGGAGAGGCAGTGTTTTAACTCGTTACGTAATCCACTTCAAGATGACAAGAGCAGAAATGCTTCCAGGCAATCACCCACCCACATTTTTTTCCTCAGAGTTCTGCAAACAGTTTTGTGAATACAGACAAAAAGTCTGGGAGCTTGTTTTATACAGATTTGTTGCATGCTGTGTTTGTGCAACAGTTGAGGGCTGTAGTGTGTATTTCTGTGAATGAGAAAATCCAGGCTGAATTATTTTACTGTTCTATTTGAGTTACATTGTTAATGTATGTCTAAAAATATGCTTAGCCTTGAAAAAATGGCCTTATAAGCATCTTCCCAAACTCTGAGTGTAACTAGATATAAAAGCAAACACCAAGAACACCTATGGATACTTGCATTAAAAAATATGCTTAGAAGGGAAGTTCATCTACAATCAAATGAATTATCTGTACTTATTGAAGTAACAAATACTTCCCGTCTAAGTTCTTCTGTTAATATAAATGTTGGCCCTACATTAAGGGGAAGCATGTGCTGTTTTGTTAATAAAAAAGCCAAGTTAAAAATTAACATACAAAATATTTTAATCGAAGCCACATACAAGCTTGAAAAACTGATAAGGATTCAAACATAATGCTAATAAATAATTTTCAGTAGGTTCTGTGAATAGTAATTTTGACACTTAATACATAGCTGAAGATTCCCTGTCAGGAGTCATGATCTGTTGACAGCATTTAATTTCCTTAAGGTACCCCAATTTCAGTAAAGGGAAGAGATGAAGTTAATGGAGGACTCAAGGTTGTAGCAGTAGAACATTGTATACTGTTCCAAAGCAGGACTAGAAAGAACTCCCAGAAGTAGGCTAATCTGACCGTTTGTTTCAGACTAGAATAAATAATACTTCCTCCTGACCAGTACATATGTGAGAGCAATTGCATTGCTGTCTCTCTTCAGCTTATTATTGGAATTAATTCTTTATTGGAAAGGTGGGTTTGTTTGGTTGTTTTTTTTAATACCTCATATATTGCAATGAAACATGTTCTTGATAAGTATTCTGTGAGCAGTTTTCTAACCAGTATCACATCCACCCAGTGGCACTTACATCCAGGTCATATTTCCCAAGGTTATTTATGAGGATGACATGAGAACCAGTGACAAAACCATTGTGAAAGCCAGATTTATGACGTGTTGCTTCTCCGTCTGTAGGCCTGGGACAAAGAGAAATTAGATTAGTATGACACAATTGCCTCATCTAGGTCAACCTTTTTAGCGAAGGCTGATGCTAAAATGGCATTAAAGAGTTTGTTCTATTATCTCTCAATAAGTTTTCCTTTTTATCCAATCATACTGTACGAAAAAATATACAGGAACTGTCATGGCAGCACAAATGAGGCACTCTCTCTGCACTTGTTCTCAAAGACTGGAGGAGTTTGGCAGGCGTGTGACAGTTCATAGAATTGGGAGAAGCCAACTGGTGACAGCAGGTGGTAAACTTGGCAGAAGGAATTCAGGTTTTGCCACGTGTCAGTATCGCACCCAACCCCGGCCATCTGCAGGGAACATCCTGCCTATTCACTTTGCCATGAGGTGCACAATATCTGCTGTTCTCTCTTTCACCTCATTATCCAAACTTGAATATTATTTGCTCAGGACATTTTGTAAAAGGTTTTACTCATTTTATAGAATCCATTTTGACTCTATTCTGTATTCAAGAAATGTACCTGCATACTGGCACTGCAAACACGTCTGTACAGCGGTGTCTGTGAGCTGGCTTGAGCTCGCCTTCCTGGTGAAACAGGCTCAGCTGACAAAACAAAGTTTGTGCAAGAATAAAAGATTAAAGGTCACAACCGAAACTGTTCTAAAACAGTTTGATTGAAATACAATTGCTGTCCTTTGAGGGATTTTGTTCATTTCCACCAAATGTTCAGGCAGCTGCCACAGGGAAGCAGGACCATGGGTGAGATGGTGGCTTGTGTCTGCGCAGTCTGTGGTGGAATGAAGAGCTTAGCTCCCAGGTAAGGCAAAGCAGGGACATGAATCAGGTGGATTTGGATGTGTGCCATTGGAACTACAGTATGTAAAGAGCATGTTGTGTTCTTGTGTGTAAAAGGTCTGAAATTACATGTGCTCCATCAGGAGAGTGGGATTTGTTTTCTTTGAAACCTGCAAAACTTAAGAGAAACAAGAATTTTCCTCTCTTCTTCTCTATAGTTACATCTCATGCTGCAACTTACAAAGCAGGAGTTGTTAAATGGGGTTCTTCCCTTGGAAGAGGGTATCTGCCTTGTCTCTGTCGCAGACAGAAGGAGTTTATTTTTGATGACATAAACAATCGAATGTATTGTGCTTCTTTCTGCTGTGTTTCTTTTCTTCCTGCCTCCCTGTAAGTGGCAGGGATGGTGATGGTGTAGTGATTTGTGGAAGGGAATCAGAAAAGAATAAAACTGCACATCAGTCCAAGACTTGGAGAGAAGAATCCTAAGTTTTATATGAAGGTCAATTCCTTAGAGGGCAGCCAGGGACAAAGGTGAGGGCAGAAGGCCAGTTCTTTGGCTTAGGATCTCATTGATGGTAACACATCGAGGAGAGGAGAGGCAAAATCTTCACCATGTAGTTACCTTCTATGTGTCCTCTGTTTTTACCCTTATATGGACAATTTGTTCTGACCTTAAAATTTAAGTATATGTGATAATGAATTGTCTGAAACTTGGAAGGGGCTGAAATGAAAAGAAACCCCAGTCTCCTTTGGGAAGTTGCAAAGGGGGCAATGCAAATTACCCATGTGTTGGAGACTCGCAGCAATCAGATAAGTAGCCTTCTGAAGAGGTAATTCAAGGAAATTAAAGAAAAAAATCAACACTTTTTTTTTTTTTAATAGAAGAAAGCAAAATAGCAAAGAGGTAACTTCTTTCACCTAGCATTAACTCTGGTACCTGAGACTGTAATACAAAAATATTTGTCTTGGAAGTAATGAAAACATCATTTTCTCCTGGTGGACAAAATGAACCTGCACTTGTGTAATGGCATTCGTTCCATTTAGATTTTTATTTCACATTTACTGTTATGTTGTCTATTTTGATCCAAATCATATCTGCACTTCAAAGGCCATGTATGCAATTATTTTATTTTGTTGTTGTACATGGTTCTAAATCAGTATGAGGAAAATGAAAGAAAAGTCAAGGTCAGAACTGTAGTTTCTTTTGCCCTTTTGTTCTAGTGGATAATGTGTCTGCTTCCACCTGAGCTCATTATTGTTGGCATATAGCAGGATGCTGCGTGCCACAGTTCCCTCATTAAAATGTCATCTTTCTTGTGGTTTTCAGATCTGGGTCTGTGTGCTTGAACTCAAAGCACTACCGAAGCTGGGTGCTAGCAAATACAATAAGCATCCTCCAGTGACTGATTACATATTAGGTTATAAAAAGGGACGCCTCAGTTCTCTTGACTCTGTAGCCCAACTCTTACTTTTGCCCATTTGATACCTTTCCCAGTAAGCTAATACTTAGAAGCTGCGAGGAAAATATTTCTTGGCCTTCTCTGGTCTGGTTTATGTTGGTTGGTTTTTTTTTTTAATTTTTTCTTAATGGAACAGAACAAGTATTCACTAAAATAGTTACACTTTTGAATTCTGTGACTGTGATTATAACATAGGTATATTTCAGGAGACCTGTAATTTCCAGTAATTCACGTAAATGGGAAAATTAGGCTTTGTGACAGAGTGATTCCAGCATAAATAAAATCTCTGAAATGGCATGCCTTGAAAAACATACATATTGCACATTAAACTGCTTACTCATAATACTAATGATAAGTAATTCAGCCACTGCCTTAACTTTCCATTGAATGGATGTAGATAATGAGGCACAAAATACTTACCAACTGCAGCATAATTAAGTGTATTGATAGTTACAGTATGTAACTGAATTCCTGGGGCACCTCACAGAGCAGGTGCCAGCTAAAACCCACCGTGGTAGCGGAGCCAGCACGGCTGAGAGGGCAAGAGGTCTCCTCGCTTCCTGTGGCAGGATTACGAAAGGGCAGGACTGCCCTGTGACCACGTTGTGTCCTAGCCCTTGTGTGCTTCCTTGCCTGCTTCTGGCACAGGGAATGTACCTGACCCTTGGCTGGAGCAGGATCATGATCTTGCTTGTGAGGGAGACTAGGAAATATTTGTCTCACTATGCTGCATTTTCAGAAGTTGTTTCCCTTTTAGCATATCAAATACTTATTTAATGCTTCAGTGCATTCAGTATAGATGGGAAGTTCAGATTTCATACTCTGAAGCTGCAGAGAACACATTTCTAGCTGAAATGTTTTTAGCTTGTGTAATGTTTGTCAGAGCTGGAGCTGCAGCCCAGTAGAGGGGCTGTGTCCTGGCTGAGCCCAGTTTGGTTCTGGCTTATGGTGTTGGGTGTTCTCCTGTTGGCATTCAAGGTACTTTTTTGGTAACCTTATTCGCATACTATTTTCTAAAGTGTTAATCTATTGATTTGTAGTCTTCAAAGACAGAAGATGCATATTTGAAAAATTAAGTCTGCCTGAGTTCTTAAAATGATATTGTAGAACCTTCTCAGGAGGGAGGACAAGAATACCTGCAAGTTTCAGGATAATTAAACCTTTTAATTTTTTCTTTCCTGCCAGAAAGAATATTGCATTTTAGAACTTGAATACGTATCACACTTAAAAACATTTGGACTCCTTCATCCCTAAGAAAAAGGAAAATCTATCAGTCATATTTCATATTTTTCATTCTTTTTGGAAGAATGTATTCTTCTTTCACTATGTTAATATTAATGATTTCATGGACACCACTGTCCCTGTTATACTTGAGGTACTTTAATTGGCCCATCCCAATGAGAGCATGCAGATTCTGAAATTCAGAAATGCTCAGGTTGGAACATTTGGCTCAGGCCACAATATGTTTGAACTATGTATTTAATAATATCCAGTGATTTTGTTTAAAACCAGAAAAACTGGCACAGATGTTTTGTAAATCAAATTATTTTATGTTTCAGGCCAAGATGACTCAACTGCCAGAGGCTGAAAAGGAAAAGATAGCTGAGCAAGTGGCTGACTTCAAAAAAGTCAAGAGTAAACTTGATGCAGAAATTGAAATATGGGACGATACCAGCAATGACATCATTGTCTTGGCCAAGAGGATGTGTGTGATTATGATGGAGATGACTGACTTCACAAGGTAATTATGCAAAGAAAGGGTCTTCAGTACCTATAAACACTGGAGGCCATTGACATATTGTTGTGGCAGGCAGTACCGAGGTTTTGTCACCAGGTGACAATACCTGTACAAAACCGAGCGACAGACCTAATGTAGGTGGTAGCTTTGCCACACCAGCTAGTTGTGTCAGAATGCTGGAAGAGAGGTTTGAGGGTTTGAACTATGCTCGTTCTTCATTATTTTTTTTCCTTTGTCCTCTCATTCATTTGGTTGGTTGCAGTTTTTGCTGCTGTGTCTAAGGAGATTCTAAAGATGTGCCAGAGGAGACCAGGTCTGTCACATCTGACTGTCTTCTGCTGCTCAACTGCCTCACCGTGTGTCCTCATGGCATGTGGTCTGTGGGGTCAGGACATACAGGGCCTGGCTGAGGTCTCTGTGACCATCCCTTGTAGTTTTACGTGGAATGAACAGCAAATGAAGCATCACTAGGCTTTTACCCCTGCCCGTTTTGTGGGCTTGTTTGGATTCTAAATGGGGTCATGTGAACACTTAAAAAAAGAAAAAAATGAAACTGCAGCCCTTGGCAAACTGTTCAGAAAATGTCTCATATTTGCTTTTAATATTTGACATTTGTTTCTAAAATGGCATCATGATCAGTGATCAGTGTTAATATTAGAAAACTAGTAAAAATAGTGAGACGAATTAACACGACTTGGAAAAATAAATTAGCTCCTTAAGGTTCTACCTTAAGAACAACTTCTAGTAGAGTTAATTATATAAAGATGTTCTTCAAGATAAATTTATTTTGGAGCAAGTACAGTTTAGTTGTATGTGCGTATTTGCATATGCTTCATCATACATGCTTTGATAAACAAAACCACCAGGATTTACTTTTTACAACACAGCAGATTAAGCAGATAAATTTCATGGTTAAAATGAGGAGGAGAACTGCATTAGCTGGAGTAGTGGAAATGCTATTTAAGATTTTGCAGGACTTGCAGGGTACTGATTGTCCTGCCAGCACTACATGCAGTTGCCTCAGGCAGTTGTTACCCTCAAGTGGAAACATGGTCTCTCAGATTTGGGATGAGTGTTTGAGATATGTCAAGTTAAATTGTGTTCTGTAACACAGAATCAGCTGATATTGCTCATTCTTCCTGAATGCCACAAAGCTGCTAAAATCTGTACAAGTGAGTGAGGATTTTGAAGGCAAAAATCCTTTATCTGTCCTCCTGCCCATCTCAAAACAGCCGGAGTCTGAATTTCATGCATGGTACGACTACATCTTTATTAATGATATTTATATAGAATATGATAGTTTGTATCATATATGTGGATGCTTTTTATAGTAAAAATAGTTTCTGCTGATTCCTAACAACAAATACCAGCAGAGAGTCAATCAGAAATGGCAATCACTACTCACGTGGCCTCCACATAATTCTAAAAGGTAAGTGCTACATATTCATCCTTTAACAGGAAAACAAAAATCCACAAATATATTAGTTATTTTATACACCCATATATTTCAAAGGCAAACCGCCTTGTGGAATGAAGTCTTGGAACCAGAAAAGAAATAAAAAAGTATCATTAAATAGATTTTAGTTTTATCAGTCCTTGAGAAATCAGGTAAGTAACAATTGTTGCTACTGCACTATTTTTCTGCAAGATGTCAATGAATTCCTTGCGTTTTTAGCAAACTTAAAAATTGTCTAGTGTTTATTTCAGGGTACCTAGCGCAACCCTTAGAATGTAAGTTAAGGCAAAAAAGTGGAACAGATAAATAGATGCTGATTGGTTGGGCAAGCAGATTAAGGAGGAACTAGTGTTCATTTTTCACATATGTAGCCAAGAACACTTAAGAGACATACTCAAATATAACAATTCACAAATAAGGCAGATAAGCTGATCTCTCTGTCGATCAGTATAAATCCATCCAGGACTAAAAATAAATCATCTCCTAAGTCACAGCCCACATCACAGCACATAGTCCTTGCCATTAAAACAGGATTGCATCTCCTGTACCTTTCACCTCTAGGGGCTGCTGCACTCAGAGGACAAGATGAGGCAAAACACTTCTCCTAGTTTCTTTTTTTAAATGTAGACCTATTTTTATGGAATTTATTTGCTCTGTTTTGCACATACTATATATTTTTATCTGTAACACCATATGTTGAGGTTCCTCCTGAACTAACAGAATTCAGAAGCTTAAACCTTTGGAGGGTTTCTGATAAATAAAGACTGGAAACTTTTGCATTTATCAGTTCCTTCACTGCAAGTGTAGGCACATCAGTGAATTATCACCAGAAATTTGATGTAAAATATTAGTTAGTTTTTTTCGTGTAAATTTAAAGCTCATTCAACTAGAAGTTGTGCCTACTTCTACAGGAGATCACTCACATGCAGGGTATGATGTACACCCACATTTCTCTTGACTATTTATTGTCTGAGGGTGAAAAGAACCCCAGATTTATGGCAGTTACTGCACTGTTGACCTGGCTGGTGTTTGTGAAATAGAAAATGGGAGCAATTGTCAAGGCAGAGGTTGCGAACTGGCTAATGCAGACAGTACCCCATGTGAGTACATACACATGAGTAGTAACTGTTTAAAAAAAAGAAGGCAAATAGTAGTTGCAGATAGTGAAATAGAAAGTAAACAGATCACTGGAATGTTCTTTCAGAAAGCAAAAATGAGCTTTTGCTGCTGTGTAGGCTTTGCAGTGCTGGTCACCACAGTTTACAGGTACTCTTCAGAGGTTTCCTCTCTAAATTGTGTGCCTGACCTTGGTCGTTGCTGTATCAGAGGTATGTTTTAGGGTGGGGAGAGGAAGTATGGAAGTATGGTTAGAATTTTCTGTTCAGTGTATGACTTCAGTCTTTCCTGAAGGATTATTGTACTATTTTTTTCTGGTCGTTCCTGAACACAGGTTACAAACCAATTGTTTGACAGCATGGTAGCACTTGCTATAGTCACTCTTCTCTGTGCAGATTAAGCTATGGTTATTTAAGAGAGATCTGGCCTTCATCTTCATAAAATCAATTCACCGGTATTGTTTCTCTTTCCCCTGTTGACCCCACTAAATGCCGAGCTTGCTTCTGTCCGAGTCATCAATCCAAAGGAAACCTTTGGTTTCTTTATGGGCAAAAGTCAAGCTAGGATGGAGTTGCTATCTAATGAAATATAATTGTTCCCAGAAGATGCATGGCTACAAAAGCCTTACTGTATTTTCTGTATAATTTATTTTGTGTCCTTCTAGTTCAGTTTTGTTTTCCGAATATGCATACTTCTGAGAAACTACTCAGAAACACTCACCTTGGGAGCATGCCTAACAACAGGAACAGTGCCGAACTGCTGAGCTTTCTGCTAAAAATATGTCTGGAGTCTGTTTCAACCTTTTTTAATTAAACCAGGATCTTTTGGGGTTCATACAGCCTGCCAGAGATTTTCACACTTTCTTCTTCAACACTATGCACCATGTTTTGAGACATATTTTTTTATTCAGTGCCTTTGGCAGTGGCTGCTTTGGTGCTCCTGGGGATTAAAACTCTTTCACCTTAAAATGGCAATGGTAGTGGCATTCAGCTTCTCAGTGTGCTGCAGACCTAGTGTTTGTAAAGGTTAGCGCAAATAGTTCTGCTTCTCCACCCTACGATAGTCTTGACACTCTTGAGGCATAATAATAAATACATAAAATAGGACCAAAACTGTAAAGGAGGAGGAGAGAGAGGGTTTGGGAGCACACCTGGTCTCACAGGCCTCCCGCTGGGAGGGCGGGGTGTTTGGAGACAGATCACGCGCAGCTGGTGAGTGCTGCGTCAGAGAGAGGATGCGGGGGAATGGAGGTTCCGCTTTTTACCACATCAGGATGACTTGGTCACTGATTCTCTCGCTGTCCTGAGGTGGGTGTGTCTCTTTTCCTAGAGCCAAAGGTAAACTGTTTAAGCTAGGATTAAATTTAAGAAGCTAGCTGGCTGTTCACACTAACACCTTTGAGTTTGTATTTACCGTTAAGCAGTGGTTTATTTACAGAGGTTTGTTGATTGTTTTGAGCATCCTGTTTGGGTTTTTTTTAATCTTTTTTTTTTTAGCTGACCATGCTAAGGAAGCCTTTGTTTTGAGTTGCATGGAGCCTTAATCTTTATTTAAAGAGATGAAAAGCTTGGAGATTTGTGCAGCCTTTGAGCTTTAGAAATAAAACAAGCTAAAGATAATCTGAGCAGCATGCTTTTTGGCCAGTCTTGTGATTTTTGAGATCTGGTTGAGGGTTGGGTTTTTCTTTTTTTTTTTAATCACTGTGATTGAAGATCTAGTAAAGGAGCTCTCTGTCAGTGCAGCAGAGCACCCTGTGCAGGCCGTAGTTGGGGCAGCTGGGTTCTGCACAGTCAGTGAAACACCCAGGCGTGCCTCGGCTGGAGCAGCCGTGTAGGAGCAGGGGTCGGCAGAAGAACGTCTTGGGAAGTCCATCGCAATCCAGCTGCAGGTGCTGGTGTGAGGACCCTTGCGATAGGGAGTGCAGTGGGAGCAGCTGTCCTGTTTTCGAGATGATGTCCTGCAAGAGCATCACCCTGCACCAGGCAAGCGCCCGTAACTCAGTTCCAGCACTCCGTTTATGAGGGTCCGTGCAGTACTGTAAAATTACAGAAGGTAAGGTCTGCTGTTACGGTTATTTTTTTTTAATGACACATTGAACTAGAAATAAATACTCAAAAAGTCATAAAACAACAAATTCAGGTTTGCCTTCAGAGTCTTAACCTCTGCTTTTGGGACTCACCGAGTTTTAATTGCTGTAGCAGGCCTCGCTACAAGGCACGTTCTGAAACTGTCAGCAAATACACATGGCTGGAGTCTTTTAAAGAAACAAAGACTAACAGAAAACAGATGCAACATGTGATTTTTTCAGAACAATTCCTTCCTCTCTTTGGAAAACTGAAAAGATAAACTTTGAAGAACAAAGTGGATGTTTCTTTCATTTTTTTTTAAAGGTTACAGGTTTGCAAGAGGATTTCATACAACAGTATTGACTTACCATAGTGACGTTGCTCTATGCTTGCATTCATATTTTATTTAATTAATAACCCTTCAATGGCTTTTTTTTTCTGCTTCCAGGCAGTTAAGACTTTTCTAGACCATGCTGTAACTCCTGTTGAAAATTCAGCACATGGTCCCCAAGCATGGGAAGCAGATGGGTCGCTCTGTGGTGGGTGTCCTTAGAGATTCTGCTGACTCTGCCTTGGCCGCACTTGACCTCTGTGCTCCGAGGAGCTGCCACGCTCATATGTTTGGAATGTATTCCCCAGGGCCAAAACGTGCTCCTCCCGCTGTCATGGGAGAGCCCCAAGCACTTACGCAGAGAGGTCTCGACACCTACGGCAGCGTTGCCGGCTGCTGCGTCTGGCCTGTTTGTGGAGGACAAGCCTAGGCATCTCGTTCTGTGTTGCGCGATCCAGGTCACACTGCAAGGACCCCGTGCTTTTGTTAACACGTGTACATAAAATTTCAATGTTAATTGTTCATAACCAAATAGTTTCTACTTACAGAAAGGCTTGGATTTTTAAAATTACTGACGCATACACTCTGTGAGACTGCTGGATGGTTTCTTGTATTAGAGATCAGTTAAAGTCCCTGGGTAACTTCTGCTTGTGACAGGGGAAATAAGAGAAGGGAGACTTAGGAGGCAAATAACAGAAACTTTTGCTATAATCAACAAAACAGTAACTGTAGCTATGTAACACAGCAATGAAAACCAATAGACATCCAAATAAAGCCCATGGCTGCTAAGGTCTGCTGAGCTTCCTAGCAACTAAAAAAATCAAAATGTCCTTTGAAAAACTGGATTTGAAAGCAGAAAGAAACGGAGAAACATCGATGAGATAATGAGAGGAGAAGAGGTGAGAAATCACTGATGTTTGGTTTAGATACCAGGGGACTCAGTTGTGACTTGGTGGTTGTACCAAGAATGTTTATGTATGGACATGGTAAACACATCAGAGGGAGATTTGAGGAGAGATTTCTGGAGGCACAGGCAGCAGTGGCTAGGAAAGAGCTAATTGGGGGAACTAGTTTCTATGTCTGTAAATTGTTATCATCTCGGTAAGTACAGAAAATGCTTCATGGGTGGCATCAACTCTACCTGGATGTGTGCTATATTTTACAAACTACTGCTCCTGTTTCCATTTTGTCTCGATTTCAAATGAACTGCTACCAAATAAAGCAGTGTTTGTAAGTCTGCATACGCAAAGAGAGCTGAAATCCTAACGACTGCAAGATCTTTCCATGCTTAGGCTGGTGTACATGCATGACCTTCTTTTAGTCCTTGATGAAATGTATCATCAAAGTGCCTCGTTTATATCCTGCTGGGACCTGCTGCAAGAGGGTAGCTTCCTCTCTGGCCACTACAGGATTTTTTTGCATTCTTGTCTTTTTTTCTTCTGTTTTTTTGGATTTCTTTATTCATTTTTTTTTTCTTCACAAGACCAGTGTAAAAAAATCCCCTGATAAAGTAATTTGGTAATGACAGCTAACTTTGTGAAGCATTTTGAAGTTTTTTTAAAAAATAATATATTAAATACTATATATAAGAATATGTTGACCTAATCAGATGGTGGTTGGTTTGTTTATTGTGGTGGTTTTTTTTTTAATGTATACAGCCCCTGCAGCTGGTCTGAAGTGGGTACAAATTGGACATTTCATGAACACATTTTATCACAGCTTCAGTGGTCATGTGTTACTTCTTACGTTCTAGAAATATTCTCATGTAAGTGTTGAAGGATTTGGGTAGGGCAGTGTCCAAATAATAGCTATTTTTTCTTTTTTTGAAAAAAAAAAACACCACCAAACTTTTTTTACAACCAGATATCTAATAATGCGTTTCAGAGTGCTTAATGTACTTTGAACATATTTACTAGAAAATTCCTGAAAGGGAAAGGAACATAAACCTCATGTAACCATGGGAAAAACAAATGGCAACAGCTCCATATCCTCAGGATTTGGCAGGGGTTGTGCTTCCTGTGTGAAAAAAAGGGTGTGACAGCTTGGGTTCTGCTGCAGCCACCTGGTGCCAAACGACACAAATCTGTAGGACATGACAGTAAAACAGTTGGAGGAGGATTTAATGAGTGTTCCTTCCGTACGGATTACTTTTATTCAGCTGAGATTCTCTGTGCTTAATGTGCATGGATAGGATTTATTATCAATGTTAGAACAACATGGTAGGGTTCTTTCTTTTCCTTTAAAGGGGCAGAGGACCACTGAAGAACACATCTGATGTAATTAATGCAGCAAAAATGATTTCTGAATCAGGATCAAGGATGGATGTCCTTGCACGGCTGATTGCCAATCAGGTAGGCCAGTTATGCAGCAGTGTGTGGAGTCGTGTCCGGGGGTCCGGGTCTCTCTGTGTGAGTCTGTGTGTGCACACCTGTGTGTGGCATGTGTGTCCCTCTAGGGTTGTGTGGGTGTATCGGTATATATGTATCCGTATGACAGTGGGTGTTCTGTGGTGCTCTGTGGGTGTTTGTGTGTCTAAGTGTGTGAGAGTGCGTCTTTGTGGGTGTCTGGGTGTTTCCCTGTGTGCCTGTGGGTGTGAGTGGATAGCTGTTAGTGGGAGTGTTGGTTCGGGGGAGGTGTGTGTGTCTATGCGTAGGGGTGTGTGTGTCCATCCATGTCTGTCAGTGGATGTGTGTATCTGTATGTATCCAATTGTATCCATGTATCTGAATGTATCTGATCATGTCTGTGAGCATTCAGGTGTATCTGATCATATCTATCTCTACGTATTCTAGTGTATCCAGTTGTATCCAAATGTATCCCATTGTGTGAATCCAATCACATCCAGATCATGTCTGTGAGCATTCAGGTGTATCTGATCATATCTGTACGTAATCCTATCCTAGTGTATCCAGTTGTATCCAAATGTATCCCATTGTGTGAATCCAATCACATCCATGTGTATCTGCATGTATCCAATCATGTCTGTGTGAATCTGCATGTATCTGATCATATCCTTGAGCATCTGATTGTATCCAATGGTATCCATGTATATCTGAGTGTATTCCATTGTATCAAGACTGTATCCAATCATAGCTGATCATATGCCTGTGTACCCAATCCTGTCCGGTGTATCTGACCATATCCATGTGAATCCCTACACCTCCATGTGTATCTGATCGCATCGCATCTGTGTGTATCTGCGTGGATCCAATCATATCCATGTGAATTTGACTGTATCTATATCCAAATGTATTCCATCATATATCAGTGTTTATCTGATGTCTCTGAATATATCCAAATGTATCCATGTGTATCCAATCGTATCTGAATGTATCCAAGCATACCCCTGTGAATCTGAAAAAAATCTATGTGAATCTGTACAAATTTACTGTATCTGTATCCAAATGTATTCCATCATATCAGTGTTTATCTGATGTCTCTGAATATATCCAAATGTATCCATGTGTATCCAATCGTATCTGAATGTATCCAAGCATACCCCTGTGAATCTGAAAAAAATCTATGTGAATCTGTACAAATTTGTGTGTATCCAATTGTATCTGAACATATCCAAGGGTATCCAAACATCTTTGGTGAATGTCACCCTTGTGTCCAACCTTGTACTCACAGAAATGTTCTCTCATAGTCATGGGATCATTTAGGTGGGAAAAGACCTTTAAGACCAACTGTTAATTGTTCTTTTCTGTGTCCCCAGTGTCCAGACCAGCCCTGCAAACAGGATTTATTGGCTTACCTAGAACAGATCAAGCTGTACTCACATCAACTCAAAATCTGCAGTCAAGTTAAAGCAGAAATCCAGAGTTTAGGTGGAGAGCTCATCATGTCAGCTGTAAGTAAAAAAAAAAAAAAAAAGGGATCAATTGCTCATCAAAATGAATCTTGAATTTGGTTTACGTGGAGTTGTCCTGCATCTTGTGGTTTCTTCTCTGCACTGTTCTCTATCCCACCTGGGATAACCTAAGGCAGTGAACCACAAGCTTTGCACTTGGAAGTTTTTCTCTTTTCAATTCTCAAAACATAGCATTCCTCAGCATTATGCTGCCTTTTAAGGTAGTGATTCATTTACTCACAGCTAAGAGGTGTGCATGTGTGTGCCTCTACCTACAGCGAGCTCCTGGTTCAGAAGGGAGGGAGGAAGAACATTCTCCATCTCCACAGAAACAAAGAGAATGTGATTTTGATTCCTGAGTACATTTCTTTTCTACAGAAATAAAGACAATTCTACACTTCCTGCCCTTAGAAATCCTGGCTGCTGAGCCCAGGGGGTGACACGAGCAGTCGAAGACTTGGCCCAGTGCTGACACCAAGGAAGTCCCAGGTCACACTGTCACAGCTCTTCCCCCCTTGCAATGAGACCCTGTGGACACACTTCATGAATTCACGTTTCAGAAGCAAATCAGCAAACATGACGTATAAGAATATTTCTATGGGACCAGCACAGATTTCTGTGCAGCCCTGCAAGCCTGAGCACCAGAACATGAACCAAACTCACCCAGGGAAAACACAATGTTTAGTAAAGCAGTCTTATTTTTTAACTGGTCTTTATTGCTGAGCACACTGACATCAGCTTCCTGGGCTCATGTTTCTGTTTCTTATTACAGCTGGAGAGCGTCACTTCACTAATCCAGGCTTTTAACTGCTCTTTATTGCTGAGCACACTGACTAAAAAGCACATCAGCTTCCTGGGCTCATGTTTCTGTTTCTTATTACAGCTGGAGAGCGTCACTTCACTAATCCAGGCTGCCAAAAATTTAATGAATGCCGTGGTGCAGACAGTGAAGATGTCCTATATTGCATCCACAAAGATTATCAAGATCCAGAGTTCTACTGGCCCACGACACCCTGTTGTGATGTGGAGGATGAAGGCTCCAGAAAAGAAGCCCCTCATTAAAAGAGAGAAGCCAGAAGACATCTATGCAGCTGTCAGAAAGGGCTCTGCAAAGAAGAGAATCCATCCCGTTCAAGTCATGAGTGAATTTAGAGGCAGAGTAGTGTAATATTTTGCCACTTTTTGTGTCCCTGTCTTGAATTTCTGAAGATTTTTCATCTTTCCCCCCCACTTACTTAAGAGTTATGTATGTTATGGTTTTGCTTTTCTCTAAATCTGTAAGATAGCACTTGCTTAAATTACTTTAAAATGCTGCTGCACTAATTTGCAGAATGTGAACCAATACTGAACGTGGCCCATACTGAACTGCATAGATTTGATGAGATACAGCTTTTTACAAGTGGTGTTTATTGGGTTAGATCATTTACCGGCATCATGACACTGTGATCCCACCAGCTGGCCTGCCTGACACAAGCTCAGAGTCTGGGCCCTTCTATATAGATTGAAGTTTGAAAAAAGAGACGAGTTTTAACAACATGGATAGAATAACGCAATTAAAAAAAAAAAAAGCGCACCGACTGCAACATAGCAGTAATAATAGCTCTTTAAAAGCCTTTTGAAACACTAATATTCATCTGTGTTCTGCTTCCTACTCCAATCTGCGAGTCCTAATAAATCTGCTGATTCTCACATTTGGAAGTTCAGAAAAATCAGCTATTAACAAAAAAACAAAAACAAAAACAAACCCCCTTTTCTAATCACTGCACAAAAGAACAAATGTGAAACACATCATTATTCTGACATCAGTGCATGAAATACATATACACAGCTCTTGAATCTTAGGAATTACGAGATTTGTGCAAGGTAACTGTTGTGATGTAAATTACTTCTCTCATGACGGTACACTCTGAAGTGCCAGACTGTGCTGGTAAGCAAGTTGCTAAATGGCTGCGCCGTATCGCCAAGTATGGTGCTGTTAGTCCGTCATCACTGCTAGGCCTCTCGAAGTAGTTAGTGTACAAAGTTTTATAATCTGTTTGTACCTGTAATCCACCTGACTGAATTAATTTTTAAGAATCTAACTTGTCTTCCCTGTCACAGACTCCACTTGTTATTCACCATGTCTTGCTGGGCAATTAATTAAATAGCTCCTTTGGTATGTCTTTTGTATTTGCTAAGGTGAGAGGGCTCCCTCATATGCCAGAACTTTGTGACACATCACTGACTGCCATTAAGAGGTGGCTCCAGCCTATGGGCCACCGCTCCACGGCATTTAGTACCGCATTTCCACAGCAGTGCACCCACCTAGCACAACATGGGCAGCAAAACCATCAACCGCGTTTCTCTGTGTGGAGGCCACTCTGTTTCTAAGCTCAGGACAGTGGAGCACTATAATTTCTAGGTTGTTGGTTAACAAATCCAGTGAAAGCTACAGAGATCATGAATTAAAAATTTTACAGATCACTCTTCCACAACTTTACTATGTTAACAGACATGAAAGGAGACCTTTGGAAGCAAAATTACTTCTTTGCAACGCAGCTTCCCTCCAGCATGTTTGCATCAAGATCTCAGTAACGTGTTGAGGTTCTTGCTATCCTCTTAGGGCTACAGCGCAGGAAGTAGCTGACAGCCCGGCACAGCAGGCGGGCGTCACACCCCCACTGACATTCAGAAGCTCCACAGGCAGCCTCAGCGGCACCAGGACAAAGAGTCTGTGTGCTGCAGAAATCAGGAGAGCGTACAGCCCTGTCACACCCTCCAGCTACAACCTCCAGAGAGGAGGCCAGGTTCCGGCCCAGCCCCTGGCACTGCCTGCTTCCCCCAGCAACGTTCATGTCCAGACACCAGCAGCTGAGGTGACACACTCCTGTTTTGGGATGGTGCTGCTCTCCTAAGGCCTCACATCTCCAGGTTACAATTTTGGTGTAGGTGACATTGACATCAAATGTGTGTAACTAATCTTGTTATCACAGTATTAATAAAAGGCATGTACACCACTGAGAAGACATCTTCTAGTGGTGTGAGATTTTTTTCTTTTTTTTGTACATCTCCTTATTGGCCCCCAGCACTAGTGAACGCCCAGGTCAGAAGCCTGCCAGCTTAGCTTACAGGAGTGCCAGCCTTCCTGCACACTATGTGTACTCCAGTAGTCTGGTTTAAGTGGGAGTTCTAGCATTAGTATCACTAAAGTAGCCCATTTCTTAATTTACTGTTCCTTCCTGCAATGCCAGATGCTACTCTCTCGTCTGAAAGCCAGTTTGATCTCAATTTCCAGTACTATTCCTACTACATACGGAATTATTAGGCAAAACCCAACCCTCTCAACGACGCAGAAAAATCAAAACACACTGCTAGTTTTTGAGAAGAGCCAAAAGAATGATTGATAAATTGATTCTATCTGGATTTCTTTCTCTTTGGTAAAGAAGTTCAAACCCAAGTGAAAACACAACAACGTGAAGTTTATTCCTGGCCAGAGGCAGAGGTTAAAGAAAGAAGTCCCAGAGATGTAAACAGCCCATTGTATTAGCTCCTTACTGCCCTCAGCAGGTGTGCTGAGTACAGTCAGGGCTTTGGCCAGCAGTGAACTACCCCCCTCGCCAGCAGTCACTGTAGTCCTGCAGCAGCTCTCTAACAATGTTTTCAGTCATTCGGGCTGGCTAGGACTCATCAGTCACTTTGAAGTTTGCTTTTGAACAGGTAGAAAGCATGCCACCAGCGATGTGCTCTCCCCCCCCCCAATATGTCTTCCTTGCTGTATTTCAAACAGCTTGTCTTTATTTAGGCATGTTTGGGCCCCCTTTAAAATATCAAAATATGGTGGTCGTTAATACAGCAATCCAAAGCATAGCAGTCAGTGGTAGTATGAGTATTGAGTCACTAAACTTCCCCCAGGATCTGTTATCCTAAAGCCTGAAGACTGTTCATTTTCTGCATCCCTAACAGCTGAGGATCAAAGCTGAAAGCCAGTAATACATGAGTCCAGTGTAAGCGAAACACATGCACAAACCAAGCTTCGCATCCCCTCCTAAAATACTAATGGCAAAATATAACACATCAGAGAATACATAGCAAAAGAAGGAATACAAAGAAAATTGGGTTTGCATCACCTCCTAAAATACCAACGGCAAAATATAACACATCAGAGAATACAGAGCAAAAGAAGGAATACAAAGAAAATTGGGTTTAAGTGTTAAGAGCCCTTACAATATTGTTTTCTAGAAACACGGTATTTCAGCTCCCAAGCAGCAGTGCATTTATCTTTTTCACTACTACGTGAATTCTGAGGGTCTGGGTGTGCTAAAATAATGTGCTTGATTTTTCAAGGAATCCAGAGACAATGAGCAGTTCTTACTGTGTTTTTGCTTAAGGTATACATTACACAGAATGCATCCCCCCAGCAACATACGCCTTAAGAGATACATGTTCTAGGAAGGGATTTCTGTCAATTAATTTAGGTTGGCTACTTGTGAGATACAACAGTGTGCTGTTTTTGTTAATAAAAACATGTTCAGCCATATTTTAAAATGAACAATCGGAAAGTTTTTCAGAGCCTCTTTTCTGGTCAAATTGTAATTCCCCATCCAGAAACCTTGTGAGTACTCCCACTCTCTTCTCCTTCCCTTAAATAAGGCTTCCTCTGAAGCAGACTGGTTATCCAACTATATCCAGACTTTGGAACAGAATTTGCCACTGAGTATTTGAAAGTTCCGAAGTTTATTTCCAATGCAGGAGCACTGGAAAAGCTACTACAAACGTTAAGACTGCAATTTAGTATTGCTTTCAAAAGCTAAGTAAATCTTATTATCACTGGTATTTGACTCTTTTATATAAACAGACTTAAGAAAAACTTGAAAGGAACATACAATATGATACAGACTTACTTACACCAGGAGTCATGCCAGTTATTAGATAGCCGGGGTAGACTTGCCACTTCTTTGTTGGTTTAATACTTTGACAGACTCATGTAGTTTGCTGTAATGAAAAAGGCAATTACTCATTTCAGATGCACAGTTCGATTTGTCTCTTTGCAGCTACAATTATCAGTAAGGACTTCAGAAGCAACCACTGAAGACCTTCCTAAGAAACGTTTGCTTCTTTTCACCAACTTGCTCTCTAAGGATGGGATGCAGGGCACACGCTGCCCAGTTGCTGAGCACACAGGCAGCACCTAACTGTAATCTTTCACAACACTTCCTCCCGGGCAGTAAGATTCCAGCTTTCTTGGTAAAAAACCCCATGAATTGGCAGGCTGTTTCAGCAAGCTGCGTTAATTGCCCCCTGTAATGCCTAAAGGTTCTGACACCTAAAAGAGAGGATAACAGGCAGACGAGAAGCAAAACACTAAAGACCTAATGCAGCGCACACAGAAAATAGCTTATAAGGCCTTCCGTAGCATTGTTCGAGCAGAACTGAGAACAGCCAGACTGCAAGTGTATTGTAACTGTATGAACTCCTGCAAACAGCTAGCATTGCCATGTTTTGGTGGTGGTGAATCAGTTAAGTATTAATTTATACAAAGTACAGACAAGAACAAATTATTTAGATATATCTTTTACGCACAAGACTTTATCTGGACTGATAACATCATCTTCCATAATTTTGTTATATTTTACTGAAGAAAACGGAAACAATGGAAGACTCAGATAAATGAATTATTAAACCCAGTTGAACCTTCTTCTTCCAATTATTTGCCATATATACAGAGTAGATTTTTATAATAAAATTGGACATAATGAAATTTGTAAACTGAGAAGTTGAAATGAATTAAAAATACTGATGTTTTTTTCCACTACCTCAGCAGGATCAGCAAGTACCAAATTCAGAAGGCACCTGGCACCTCTAGAGCAAGATAAATTGATTTTTGTACTAACACGGCTGTACAGTAGCAAAACTGCCATTTTTTTCACCCCATTCTGTTTAATACTGTAGGAGGAGGGAAACATTTGAATGAATGTGTCTTTGTGTGTATTCTGTCCACATTCGCATAATTTCAAGTTCCTAAGGCTGTACAAAGAATACCTGCACTATGGTAGATTTTATGGATAATTTTTACTAGGCATGCATTTTAGATACATTTTATATTTTAGGGAGATTTTGTACTGAAGCTCATTTGCTTCCCCTCTACAATACAATGTATAGTTTGAGACTCTTATCTCAATTTCTTACATG